CGTTAACAATTCAGGGAGTAGTTGTGCTTGTAATTTCAAATCAGCCTCTAAATGCACACTTCTCCAAGTTTGAAATTAATTGCCCCATTACCCCCTGAATTGTACACCACTCGGTCCAATTACTATCACTTATTATCATTGGTTTGAGACCTGACGTACATCTTATGGCCAAAAATTATAGAAAATTATATGTTAGACAGTTCTTTTGTCAAAACTTTAAAATGTATCTCTTTTTCCCAGCTTATGGAAAACTAGGACAGTCCAAGGAAATTTCCAAAATTAATTATTATTTAAAGATGCTTCTATAGACTCCAGGTTTGTACTTTCTTGTGGCTTTGTTCATCCTGTCAGAAAGCTAACCTTAAATTATCTATTACCATGGATATAATCTGCAAGTTAATAATTAACTTTCTGTCATGAAATTACTATATAAACAGCAACCATACATTTTAGTTTAGATTATTTATAATAAACATGATCTGAGTATGTGGGACTCTAAATTACTATAAAATATAAATTCTCTTCAAACTCAAACTTACCAAATAATCCTTTAATGTTCTCCTTTTCAAGGTGTCTAGCATATTCATCTACTGCACTTAAATTTAGTTCCCTGGTGACAAATTTTTATGTTTTAAAATTAAATCATTATTTTACAAAGGTATTTACTCACCTGGCTTACTGTGCCTTAAGATATAGATGGCAATGCAATAGCAGCTAGAGTACAACCTAAAAGTGTGCAACTTTTAAAATTGCAATTATAGCTTTTATAATTTTGCAATTCTCAACCTTTTCACTAAACAAACAGGGTTATTCTGCTTTGGGTAAGGTTCAAGAAAATATCCAAACCCACCCCAAGGAGAGAAATTCCAGGGCAAGAGGGGTTTCAAAAGCTAAAATTCTTATAGGATTTTAAGTTATGCGAACAAATACTGGAATTTCCAGAGAGAGGTGGCAGGCAGGGGGAGGGGGGAGGGAAGTTGAACCAAAAACCCGTTTCGTGACAGGGGTATGGATATATTCTGGAACAATGCATTGTATTGACCACTGCATTGGCCCTTTCACCTTCCTGTGTATTCTTAACAAAGGGATACCTCGTAATTTTTAAGGATATAATTTTAAACATTTTTTAAAATATAAGATAATAACATTTGTATAGGGCCTTAATGCAGTCCCGTTCTACGCACGCAAAGTATTGTAATCCATTTATTCCCTGAACAATGCAAGCTAGGAGAAAAGCTATAAATTAAAGAATGTCTTCAAATATCACATTACAAATCAAAGTGCTTACCCATTCTTATAAAATGGAGTTAGTGTTGCAGCAAGTAATCCTTCTATCTATAACAAGACAATGAGGAAAGACAGCAGTTAGCATTTTGAAACTATATATTATACTTTTAAGGATAATATACTGTGATGCCATTCCAAAAGACATTTAATCAATAATAAAGCAATCTTCTTTTGAGTCTGAAAATTTGACAGGCCCAAAGGAAGATAGCTAGCACTGTTAACCAGACATTGATTTGCCTTTAATCTCTATTAAGCAGTGACATCCAGTGGTACTGAAAAAAAAAAGACATGGGGGGAGGCGAGACATCTTGCCTAAAAATTATTAGAACCAGATCCCAATGTGAAGATGACTCTTTTTCTTGTTCAAAAAAGTGGCCTGGAAGAGGGCAGGGGAAAAAAATGTTCACTAAATTATATAGCTTTCTATGACAGATTAAAGGACCAACTGCTTATTATATTTGAGATTGAAAGATAAAACTGATACTCTTGTCAACATTTTAAGAATGGTCACACGAAATGTATCCATCAAATAGAGACATCAACTTTAAATTAAATTTAAAAAAATTACTGATAATTCATTTATAGACAAGTAAGAGTGCCGTACTCTACTGTCCACGGCACTTTTACAGTGCTAATTAAAACTAACTTCCCCTCCTCTCTACCCCCTCTACTAGACATACCCGAACATTCGATAATTTCTCGTGCGCGCAACGTAGGTTTGGCAAAATGTGGCCCTCCCGTCTCCCGTCTCCCATACCCCACCCGCCCGCTATTCTACCAGGCTCCGGCCCCTTTCTCCCCCTAACTTCCCCCAAATCATCTCCTGATCACGAGGTATTCTATAGTGTATAATCTTTCACCCACTAGATTATACGAAGAAAGAAACAAGTGGAGATCATATCTGTTGAAACCTGGAAGTTCACTAGCATAACTTTAGTGGATATTGCTAAAGGGGCGGCAAAACCGTCCGCCATAAGGATTTGAGAGCATGTAGCCAGTTGCTTTTCGCGCCTGACGATTTACCTCTAGCACGAAAAACAACGAGGAAAACTTACCTTTTTCATGGTTTTGCAAAACCCGTCTATTCTGAGCAAAGAAAATGCAGGAAAGTGAAAAGGAGGTTGTCACGAGAGTGGCACGCGAGTAAGGCAAAAGCTCGGCTACCAAGCGAATCAGTGGCTGAATAAATTGAAATCAGGGATAGGGGGTGGTTTTCAAGTCGTGAAACCAAAACCAAACCAATTGCTTACCAATTAGACTACTCAGCCAATTTTAAACCGTAGTAAGACCAAGACCAAAACCAATTAATTAATTGTCTGATTAGTGATTACTTCGAAACTGAATTGATAATTGCTCTAAAGAGGGTCGTACTTGGCTATTCTCGTGATGCGGGATTAGCTGATTTTATTTTCCGTGAAACGTGAATCTTCGTGACTCGTGACCTGAAGGTTTTGCGTGACCCGTGAAGAACCTGAATTATTAACCGATATTCGTGGTTTTATCACTCTATTCTACGTAATTTTGAGACGCAAGTCCTCCGAATGGTTAGAGTCGTCAATCGAGAGTGACTTAGGTATGCGATTTGCAATATGGAGTCTTGACTTAGCCATTCGTGGTTTTGCTTTCTTCAAACACTGTTTCTAGTGTAAGAACAGGTTATTAAAGAGTATCTTACTTGCTTATTTTCGTGATTCGGGAAAACGAAATTTTTATATTCGTGATCCTCTATTTTTTCCGTTCGTGAACCGTGCCGGAGACTCCTCCTGTACGATCCTCTCTAAAGCAGAATGCAAATGCTTTCATGAGTATTATCCATAAAAGTATCTTTTAGTTTGTCGCATCATTTTGTACCTGCTGCGTGGGTATACTACGCTACAAAACAAGCGTTCTCACTAGTCCACTTCTGGCTTCGGAAGTCCCAAAGCTGGGTGACAGAGAGATGAGTGCGGTCAGCACGGCACACTGGCTGCGTAGAGATTGGCGAGGAGGTAAAAAATTTGGCAGCAACGCTTGACAGCCTACCTGTGTTTGTAATTTAGACAGAGCTGGCATTTAAATAAAGAAAATGAAGTAATTGATGACAGTGCGAGAGTTTAACGAGTCATGAAGGATTTTATATGAAAGGCCAAAATCGCGCCGGCTGGGTCATGTTAACTCCGATATGCACCCAATATCGGAATCAGCGTGGGAAGTCCTCGCGCGAGTAGAAATTATGATCTAAATCGTCCATTGTCCGCGACTAAATACTTATGCTTACTTTTAAAAATTTAGGTTCAAGGGCAGTTAACTGTGAGCAACGGCTTCTAAATTCAAATGATGAACCGATGCACACATGCTAAGTTGGTAGCGCTACTCTCTCCACTCGGGAGGTGATCACATATAGATAGCTACATATGCAGCGCTAATCACCCATCCAGTTATCAACCTTTTCCAACTAGCGACAACTGGTGCTGCTCTAGGGAAACCCTTTTTGTGGTACAGTAAGTCGTGTTTTTTCCCTTCTTCTTCATCAACACAAGAACACTTGCAATATCTATTGTCTGTTTACAAGGAGGGAGGCTTACCCTAGCAAGCGGGTTAACCCTAGCTGGAGGGCAAAAGATAGCCGGATTTACAAGCAAAATTTCACAGGACAACTTAATGCGCGGTTACACTCAAAGGGTCTGGAAACAAGTAGAAAGTTAACCCGGGTAGGCGGGTTAACCCTACCTGGAGTGTTTACAAGGGAAAAAGTTAACCCGCCTGCCAGGGTAACCCTAGCACGCAGATAGGGCAACCCGCCTACCCGGGTAGCCCTAGCTGCCTTGTAAACACGACGAAGGACAAAAGAGAAAATGTTTGAGTGCTAGGGTTAACCCGCTTGCTAGGGTAACCCTCCCTCCTTGTAAACAGGCCCTAAGAATCAACGTACAGTAGGCAGTCTATCTGGCTTCTTTTAAGCTACCAGAAACAGACCAAATTAGAGTTAAGATAAAAATTATAAGCGTTGTGCGTGGGGCCTTGGACAAATCTTTCGTTAAATTTCTTTCAGAAAAATTGTTTGTGTGCTTTTCATTTTTTTTTCTAGCGTTCATGCAGCGCTATTAAGTTACATTTTTCCTCGGCCAAATTACGGTTTGCATACTATAAAAATTTTTATGACGGTGCAATGTTGCATGTTTTTGTGGCAGGTGCTATGCCGTAATTACAGTACTTGTTAGTGAAGGTGCTAAGTTTTTTTCTTTTTCAGACAAGCAACCCGGCCTAGAGCATGACAACTTAATTTATACTACAGTACTGTGCAAAGGCAATGCAAATGACTTCTGTTAACACTTCAGGCTGACAATGACCGTTACTACTTGCCATCACGAGAGGCTATCAGTCTATTGTTCTCAGTTGTTTTGGGTATTTAATAGGTTTCCAGTTTCAACATTGCCCAATGCTAAGATATGACTGAGCTAAATCTTTTGGATCACACAAAAACTGCAGATTGCCAGTTAGTTGCCTTAGCTGACTAATAGCTCAGTCAGTTAAAATACAAACGATAGAAGAAAAAGATTGAACAGCCACAAAATGAGAGACAAAACTGTTCATGCTTTGTTCTGTATTTTTATTTGAATGGTCGCCCATCAACGTTAAGTCAGTGACACAATCGCAATAAATTTTCTAATTCAAGACATCGCTCAACACATGTTTCACATGCTTCACATGCCACGCCATGTTATCCTTTGATACAGCCTGAATATTGCAGTGTAATTTGTTCAAATCGGAACCCAAATATTTAGTTCATAGATTTACTACCGTGAACAAAAGCTCTGTTTTGCACTTTACTCACGACAAGAAGGACACTTAATTTATCTCCATTTATTCATGGCCAAGGGAAACAACTTGCATTTTTCTCGTTCTGCAGTGAGTTCAGTAATATTAGGCCAGTACTGACAAAACGGAAGTAGTTGAAAAATTGCTTCGTTCAAATCCAGCATCGCTCGCGATTTGATCGACAAATCATTTCAATAAATTCAATATTTTGCTGTCATGTAGCCTGCGAATACAGCCGCCTCTCATTCGCGCCCGCTACTGCGAGCGAATGAGAGGCGGCTGTATTCGCAGGCTAGCTGTCATGTTCTAAAGACTGTTTGCCTGAAAGAGAAAAATAAACCTTGAACCTCTGATATCCTAGTGCACAGCGGGAGCATCGGAACGGCGGCTTACAACCTTTGTCTACAGGCAGCCTCTACACCATTCCCCCTCGGTCACTTCACTCTCAGCCAGTCCCCTTTTGGCCCTTCCAGTTAACTGCCCGCAACATCACACTTTTGGAAAAAATATTAATATGATATGCAGAACGGAGGTCGAAGATAAACATAACGAAAAGTTAACGAAAGACAATATTTTAAAAGTAGAAAAACATATATAAAAATATATTTGAAATTAAAGTACAGCTGAATTGAAGACTTGAAGGAAGACTTGATCCAAACGAGTGCAGAAAATAAAATAAAAATGTCTACTCTCAGCTTGGGTATGTTCTCAGCATGCTGTAAAATCTGTTCAATCTCAGAGCGGTTTATCCTTGCAATAAAACTTTTTATGCTCTTGGAAGCATTTCAACACCGTGAGAAAGACCGCCTTCCCTGCTGCCGTTCGATCCCTCGGTCTTTTCCTTGACATATGGCTGTGTTCTGTCGCCTGTTGATCGTGGATATCGTTCTGCCATTGCCTCGTACGCATTGTTGACAAGGTTGAACGCATCGCTTTCTTCGTATTCTCGCCACGTAGTGTCAATAAATGTCAGCTCGACTTTCTGCTTGCCTTCCTGTTGCACTTTTTCCTTGAAAGCGGTTACAGCAGCTTGTGCTTGAAGCTCTTGGTAGTCTTCCAAGGAAGGGAACGCTTTGTCAAATTTATTCACCGTTACGAGGTCTTGATAAGCGCTCTTGAGTATATCGGAGGGATTTTTCTTTGGGTACATTGAGGCAAAGTACAAATCTGCTCGTCTTTTCCCTTGCCCCTGTGCAAGTTTTTCCATGTTGGCTTTGAAAGCTTCGACTGCCGCTTCCGACTCGAGCTTTTGGTAGGTATAAGGACTTGGTAAAGAGCCGATTTCTCGCTGAAAACAGCAGCGCTGAACGGAGACCACAACAAAGCCTACAATCAATGCACCAGCGAGTAACAGGAGAGCAGCTGCTTGTGAATTTTTTCCCGCATTCGCGTAGTCGGCTTCGATTTTCAATTTCTCCGCCTCAGAAGCGTTGATCAACTTTGCTTCCTTCGTGCCTCCAAGAGCGGCGCAGATGAAATAATCGCGTTGTAACAAGGCCCAGAAAATCCACATAAACCCAGACAGAGAACTCTGAAAGATGATTTCGACGAGATTCTTGCTGCAGGGCCAGCGAGGGTACAAGAAACAACAGAACCGCTTGCCGCCTCGTCTTTCGTGTTGTTCATAGTAACAGCATCCACGCACAAGATTCCAAAATCCATTGTGCAGAAATAGTGTGACCAGAAACAGAAACAGGGCAGGAATGACAAAGAAACAGGCTCCATAAAATGCGAAACCGTCTGGCGGACACTGGAAGAAGTCTTCGCTTTGAACGACCGCGTTGATGCCAAAAACGATCAGTGCTATAGTCGTATTTCTGATTGCTCCAGAATGGCTTTGAAAAGCCGACTGGAACGAGGTCATAAGCTTACTTAAAGTAAACGCCATTTTGATTTTCACTTATAAGAATTTTCCTTGTTAGACTCTTGTTTACGTTCGCAACCATGCGTGGCTTAACGTATGCAGATTTAGTGGGGGCAAGGTGTTGCCTGCATAATTAACACAAATCAACACGAGGTCACGCTTTTGCATCAATATTGATCACGAGACCGATTTCAGAACTGGAGAGCGTGCATGTGTGCATGGCCAGAATGTGGCCAGAATATGGCCAGAATATGTATTAAAAAGGGTAAAATATTGGGAGAGAGTGGAAAATTCTTTGTAGGCTCTTCAACCGAATAAGGTAAGGATTTTCTGGCAGGTTAAAAACTTTCAAAATTACAAGGATTTGTAAGAAAAACCAGTGGAGAGTGACTGGAGGGCAAAGGATCTCCTTCCCTCACACATCCTAATTTCTAACGTTCATAAAAATTCCGTCTTAAAGGATATAATCCTGTAAATTTGCATGTAGGTTTAATTGTAAGTGTTCTTTCCATTTCCGATAACATTATGCAGTACCAATGACTAAATCAGTGTGTTCTTGAGAAACAAGTCAAAACGCCTATTATAAGAAGAAAGATTAAAGTTATCAATTTTGACAACAAACAGCTTTTGCTAGATGCTGCATATGGAAAAAGTTAAGTTTTTACGAAGCGTTTATTTATAAGAACTCGTCTCACGCCTTCACTTCCGGTCGTCCTGGCTATCCCCGGTTTTGGTCGAGGATGATAATCTTCGTATTGATCAGCGGAGTGTCCACAGATGGCATATCAGTCCACTTTTTGCCCAAAAGGCTCGGCCGCATTGTGGGCAACTGGTACTGGGCGGGAGAGCAGGCCGTGGTTGTTGTTGGCGCTCTTTCTTATGTCTCCGTTTTTCCTCCAACCCTTGACATCTTCTCGCTTCGAAAGTTGCAGTTCCTTCGCCGCTAGTGGTTCTCCAGAGAGGCCTGTCCTCCTGAGTGACATTGATGCTGCACTTCTTGAGGTTCGCTTTCAGCACATCTTTGAAGCGCTCCTTCTGGCCCCCTCTTGAACGCTTGCCTTCTACCAGTTCGAAGTAGAACATCTGCACAGGAAGACGTTGGTCTGGCATTCGTATTACATGGCCGCTCCACCTGAGTTGATTCTTGATGATGCTGGCTTTGATGCCAGTTGTTTTCGCGTCTTGTAATACGTTGGATCTTGTCTTCCCAGCTGATTTTGTGGACCTTCTGGAGACAGGGTTGATGGAACTTCTCGAGAGATTTCGGATGGTGACGATAGGGTGTCCAGGTCTCGGATGCAAAGAGAAGCGTTATACATCAGGAGCTTTGTTTCCGTGCGAATATCACGGTCCTCAAATGTTCGCGTACGGAGCTTGCCGAACGCAGTCCCTGCGCACTTCAGGCGATATTAGATTTCATCCTGAAGGTCGACATTTGCTGGCAGATGGCTTCCACGATAGCAGAAGTGATTGTCGATGAGATGCCAATGTTTCGCCCTAGGGTGTTTCCAGGAGACTTTCAGCCGTCTCTCTGGCAAAACAGGGTGTTGGTTATCACCAGATTGTGTTCGGCACATGTGGTCAGAAGGAGAGTCCCGTTGGCGTTGACGTTTCCTACTCCTGCCTTTCCGATGGTTCCTACCCAGAGATCGCGCTCTTTACCGACACTGGCATTCAAGTCTCCGAGGAGGATGATCTTGTCGGCTCGCGGGATGGTAGAGAGAACGTGGTTGAGCTGGCTGTAGAATGCTTCCTTGACTTCATCTTCAGCGTTGAGGGTGGGAGCGTAAGCACTGATAATGGTTGCGTGTTGGCTGTTTATCAGCTGGATTCGGAGAGTCATGAGGCGCGCGTCCGGTAAGTGGACGGCGGACAGCGGTCAGCTCAATCTCGAGCCAAGGGTTTCTCCGGCTCCGAGGTCAACGGTGCTACAATCGTGGACAACAGTCCATGGACAATTACGTAATGTAACGAGTTATCTGTGTTCTAGAACTGCTATATCCTTTGAAAACCCGTTGCCGTCCCCCCTCCTTCCCTACCCAACACAATGTTGAAAATCAGGTGACATTGCAGGTATTAGTTTTCAACATTGTACGGGGGGTGGAGGGCGAGGTTAGGCAGCCGCAGGTGAAGTTGTATTCCCGCCGGGCGTGTGCGCAAAAGCGCCAAAAGTGCAAATTTGTCCCAAGACTTTTGTCCATGATTGTAGATTAAGGACAGCTCACATAGAACTTGTGGAGTGACCATCGTACCTCTCAGAGGTAGCTCGTCGACTTTCTTCGTCTTGCAAATATTTCATTTAGCAATCTCGAGCCACTTCTTTGCGTGATGTTTTACTCACAGGTGATCAAGAGACCTAAAGTGAAGTTTAGATCCAACCTCATTCCCAGAGTTTCTAAGGAGACCATGGCTAAGAACAAAGATAAAAGAAAATAAAACAATATCACAGCGCTTTTCTAAAATACTCTTTATTCGTATCTCAGAGCATTCAATTTGTATTTTCCAATCCTTTATATAACAGGCAAGCTTCATATAGCTTACAATCTGCATTAATTAAAAACACTGGTCTTCATAACTTTTAAAAAAAATAAATAGATGAATGATTTAGTTTTTTTTAATCCCTTTTTCATTCTTTTCGAGGTTTCACAAAATCTAACCCTTCCGTAGCTGCCCCAGGAAACCTTTTGACGATTTTTGCACTGTTTAAAAAGAGGGATTGATTGGAATTGAAATAAATAGGAGAAAATTCATTTTCTAATTTTAACCGAATTACTAGTCATAATACAGAATTACTACTACCAAGAATTTTCTTTTGTACCCTCCCTCATTTTTGCCCCACACAACTGTTAAGTTTCGTATACAGACGTCCCGGACTGATGCAAACTACATGAAAAAGAAGAGTTCTTGTTGTAGAGGACCTCTCTTGATCTGTTTTTTTAAACTGATGTTATGCAGACAAAAACGATTTTTTTTCTTTTCGGGGGGGGGGGGG